CCTTTTGACTTTCTTAGAGTAGAGGAGGAAGAGGAGGAAGAAGAGGTGCAGGAGGAAGGCCAGGTAGGAAGGCTGATGGGGCCAGGGCACTCCCCACCATTGACTGCCCCAGAGGGTGACTTGGGAGGGGACCTGGTACTGGGGCTCACCTGGGGGTGGCAGGTCCCACTGTTTCCTTGTGAGTTCCTTCATAGAGGTTTGAAGGTTCCTGAGGACCGTGTTGTCCTCCAGGGCCCAGCTCTGAGAGAGTCGCTCCTGAAATTCCCAGACGGTGCTCCAGGAAAGCTTCATGAGGCGCTCTAGGGACAGGGCGGGCATTAGGCCAGGAGGGTTCCCTGGGAGGGGTCGTGCCTGCACCCCATTTCCACCAGGCCCACCTCCCACTGGGTGGTGCCTGCTTCTTTGCTTCTTTTTGGCCACCCTGGGGTCCAGCTGTGAACAGGAGGCTACAGTTGGGGAAGGCCGGGCAAGGAAGTGCTCACCACACTCCTGACTTTCATCTGGGTCATGTAGGGGGTGGACTTAGTGTCATCATGCCTTGCCCAACCCAACAGGCCAGACCCCCCATCCGGATGGAGCAGGCAGTATAAGGACACTTCCCTCAGGCCAGCTAGGGTCTGTCCCATGTGTTCCCCCCGGGCACCCTCAGGCACACGGGACTTACTCCTGTGTATTTTGAATGATGTATGCACCATGGCCGTCAGTACCCACTCGCCCTCCAAGATGAGCACATCCCACAGTCTCAGGGTGAGCCCGAAGGACTTCTGTGGGGACAGCAGGTGTGGGAGGACCTGGCCTTTCCAAGTTGGGGCCGGTGGCCTGAGCAGGGCCCACTGGGGTTTCAGTCCCCTGGAGTGCTGGGGACCCCCTCTCCATGGGATGAGATCCCCCATAAAACTGAGTCAGACAAGGTCTTGTGGTTCCTTATGGCGTGCTCATCTCAGCAGCACTGTGGCTTCTGGAAGGAGGGGCTTCCTGAGGACTTCAGGCTTCCCTGGGCCCTCCCAAGTCCTGCCCCAATCTGCCCATGAGGCTGGGCCTGAGCCCTGGACTCTGCCATGGGATGCCCCTTCTTGGGCAGGGCCTGGCTTGTGAGCCCTGCAGGGGCCTGCCTGTGCCTCCTGTGGGCTGGGGGTGAGCCAGGTCCTCCTGGGGGAGCTGGACCCCTGAGCTGAGGGAGTTGGGCACTGTGGGGCAGGGGAGTCCCTGGGCTGGGGTCTCCCTGTGCCTCTTTACCCCATCAAGGAAACACCAGAGGAAACTTGTCAGCATGGAACCCTCAATGCACAGCTCTTCCTTGCCTTGAAAGGAGGAGCAGAGGTGTTCATGGCCCCCTGGGCTGCCCTGAAATCCTCCCACTTCCAGGTCCCTCTGCAGACCCTTCCTCAAGGAGCAGAACCCAAGGCAGTGGCCAGGGCTCCGACACCTGCCCCATGCATGGATGCCCAGGGGACACACATCCTTTAGCCTTGCTCAGCTGCAGCTCAGCATTG